ATCATGCCATGCACTATTTCCCGTGATCTTTCCTTAAAGCCCTTTTAAGGAGATTTTAAAGCCAATTCCTAAGGAAATTAAGCTTATGCCATCCCTCCGCCTGTGCGCGTGAGTCCGTCTGCCCCCACTTTCAGCCAGGCCCTGGCTCCCTGCTCTGAATTCATCCGTCTGCTTCCGTCGCTTGCAGCAGAGCAAACATCTCCAACAACGTCTGTAAAACCAGTGTGAAAAAAAACTGTGATCTGGTGATCCTTGCCATCACAAAATTGCTCCGGGTAAATAAAGTCTGAATAGACTTTGAGACCCAACTATGCAGTGAAAGCTCTCGAGTTATTTTGAAGAAGATCTACTACCTGAATTATCTGTTCTGCTAGAACCAAAAAATCATAAAACCAGAAATTACCAGTCTGAACCTTTGCAGTGATTGGCTTTTAGATGTTGCAAAAAAGACAGATGTGCAAATGTAAGCTTTTGAAAGCCTTTGGGATATTTATAGCTCCATGAAGATATTGTAAATTTTACTGTCTTTTATGTCCTTATCACCTGATCACGCAGAGTTTAGAGCAAGCCATCTTGCCAGCTGTGGCCGTGGCTGTGTCAGGTTGCAGGGACATGATTCGGGTCCCAAAGTCTGATATTGCCGCAGGCAAAGGCTGTTCCTTATTGCTCTTTACCCAGGACAGGGTCTGTACGCTGTACTGGGTCACTGTATGCCGAGGACTCCCCGGGGCCTGCAAACCAACGCCGCAGCTCCGCTGACCATCCACCTGCAGCATAAGTGTCTGCAGTTCAAAAATCAATCTTTAAAAAACAGTTGAAGGCGTTTAGAGAGATTTATTCATACTCCTCAGCCGTCCCACAGTTTCTATGCAGCCGCCTTACAAAATAAACAACATCACGTATACCTTGTGGCACAACACAGCCAAGGGAAGCAAAGATGAAAGAGAACTGGAAATTTGTTTTTAATGTTGAATTTAAACTAAAAAATTATTGTTGCTTAACAACATTGTAAAATTATTGTTACTTAACAAACATACGTATTGCTCAGAAGTAAATTCTGTTTGTCTTAAAAAGTTTCTTGCTCACAAATTAGCAGGTTAATACAACTTCCTTAAATCTCTGAATCCTCTAACACGCTTCTGACCTTACAAGGAACCTCTCATAGTTTATTCTATCCATATTGCATTCCATACTTACATAGAATCTAATATATATAAACTAATATATAATATAATCTAGTATTTTGGGCAAATGTTATAAATAAGGTGGATTTTAAAATGTGGAGTAAAGCAAATTGCAAAGGTGTTGATTGTTTTTTTAAACAACTTAAGAACTGAACTTAAGCACGTTCTCATCTTAGGACCACATGAAATATATATAGTGGGTGAAATATTGCTCTGCCGGAACTGCTACTCATTTTGGTCAATGAAACACAACAGATGTGGCACAGAGATAAAAACATTATGCAGTAGTAAACATAAAAAACGTTATAGGACTGAAAACAGCTATTAGGTCAACTTTACCATTTAGCATTTCAAGGAGGGGGTAGCCCGTCTGCAGGACTGCGGTTTACATGTCCTGGGAAGACTTTCCTACCAGCTGTAACTGCTGCCTAGAGGAATAAAACTTAGTTAGAAATTTTTTTCATCTTTCACTTTTCGTCTTTTTGCAGTTACTTTTGTGACAGAAGATGTACATACACCATACATGTGTAAAGGCATTCTCTGTGTTTGCTCCAGAGCAGCCCTGTCTCTGCGAGCCCTTCCCCTGCGAGAGCTGTAGGATTTTGCAGCTCCACCCCAAGCATGAATAATCTCCACTGAAGTCCCTTCTTCACTTGAAGTGACAGTTTTAGTGTTTGGAATAGTCCTCATCAACGCTGATCAAGCCTTTCAGATCACAGTGTGTTTTCAGCTATAAAAGGGAACACTGCAGCAAGTCCAGCCACAATATTCTACTCCGATGCTTGAATGACCTTTAAGTTTACAGAAACATACTGACTGTCATTCCCAATACCATCTATACTGTGCAGACAGGTGTTTTTATCAAATGTACATTAATACAGTCTAAGATAATGGTTCTAAATATTTATAAGAGAGTTAATTATACCGATTTTAAAAGAAATGCAGCTGACAGCTCAAATTTTCAGAAGTGTCTCAGTGATTTAGAACCTTATAGCTTATTTTATATTCTCATTGCCTTGAAGGAGCTTCATTATGAAGAGCCATTAGCAAGGTCTCACTGATGTTCTCAAAAAAATCTCTCTTGGTTTCTGCCTCCCCGTCATTGCCTAAGGTTTTGCCTCTGGAGCAGGCTGTGTAAACCCACAGCTCAGACAAAAATGCTGAGGAAGTTAAAGGCTTTCTCATCTCAGACGCTTTTGGTCCCACATATGAGCACAGCCCAGGCCTGGGGCATCCCTGGGACTCAGCTGCTGCCAGAGCTGCGGGGCACGGGGTGGCACAGAGCCGGGCGTGAAGTTCCCACATCTCCCCGCGGTCCGCTCCTCCTCGCCTGCACTCAGGGTTAGCTTTTGGGCAGACTTTTTGTATAGTCTTCAGCAGGTCATTTGGTTCTGGAAGTCTGGATATTTTTAGTTGGTGCTATGGATTTATTTTTGCATATATGCTTCACTTTCCTGCCAATCCATAAAATGGGTACAATGCCTTGTAGCATGTTAGGAGGTTGGAGGATACATCACGCGTTTGCAGCTGAATGCGCTTTAAAGGTACCGTAGAAAAGCAAATAAAACTAAAATAAACCTTGAGGAAATGTGATTATAATAGCTAAGAAAGCCTTTAAAGGAATTCTAAATGGCCAATTCATAAATGTCTCAGATTCCTTGTAGAAATTATATAGTAAGAGACGATAATTTGGAGATTTCTAGATGATCTATATTTAAAAGATCTTTTCTGGTGTCAGCAGCCTAACTTTTGAATATATCACTAAAATGATGATGAAATAGCATGTGCAGATGTACTTTTTCCTTGAGCTGTCACAAATGGGTAGTCGCAAGACAACCAAATAGAGCATCAAAGCAACGCTGGCACTGTAGGAAGAACATTTCAGTATTACTTGGGAGGGGCATCTTGCTTTCAAACAAGTATCAGCAATAAATGCTGTTATTACTGAATAAACGCAGCTGCCTGTTGGATGCGCTAGGCAGCAGGGGCAGTGCTGCCGAGGGAGGGCAGTGGGGCAGTAACACAGCAGGTGAGATTTGCCAGCGCAGATGCAAGACCAAAAAATGTATGGTTGCACTTTATTTTTTTGCAAGTTGTATAATTGCAGAACATGTCCCTAAAGTCTTGCACGCAGCTACTCAGAGGATTTAAGCAACTTTACCTAGACTTCAGTTATCATACGTAAGGGAGTAGCACAAGTGTCGTACTGAAGTCTCCTGTAAACCAGGGTCCTGGGGAGAGGACTGAGCCGCGGGAAGGGTGCAGGGGGCACCCGAGGGCAGTCAGGGAGAGTTGGCTGATGGCAGAGAGCCAGCCAGCGCTCTGGTTTTTTGTACAATACCATATCGCCTCCATTCCCTTCTTGAAAAAGTAGGGTGAGTACAGAATATCAGTGATGACAAAAATGCCTGTGCATAAGGGAACAAAAGACTGAGTGTTACTCTCTTTCTGCTCAGGTATGCCATGTAAATAGCTGCCTTCCCCGAGCGTAAGATCACACTAACGTCCCCCCAAACCATATGAGTGTGCTGAGCTTCCAAGGAAATACTCATCTTGGTGTTTCCTGATAAATTGACATTATCTGTATTTTGATTCACACTTGTAAATTGCATTTGTGATTCATTTCAGGTTTTTTTCTCAGTATAAAATTCACTAGTAAAAATAGGGCCCAAACCAAGTGGCAGGTGACTAAGTTTCTTGGAAGAGGAGCACAGCACCTCTGGAGGAACACTCACTGCAAGGCCACCGGCACACCTGCAGAAACGCGCAGTACCATTTTCTGTCCCCGTTCAAGTAGGGGAAAACAAGAAGAGGCTATAATTGTGAGTTCCTGGGAGTCTATTAAGGGAATAATTAGCGTTAGACATATGAAAATGAGTGATTTAATTGTTTCTCTCATTTAACAGAAAAATACCCGATCTGACAGATGGGAAAGTTTAGCTCTCCATAGGCTAGAGGTAATGAGTTGCGAGAAGGTTTCGGGGCAGCGCCGCCACCAGCCACAGGGTGAACACCGAAAAACACAATCTGGGGCTTTTGTGCTTCCTAGCACTGGATAGAAAATGTGACTCCGCTGTAAAAATTATCTTGTGTTCTCAGGCTATGGTCAGGATGGCTTCACAGTTCATTTTCTTTTGTACTGTCTATGATTTTATGAGAACAAAATCAAGGGTTTGTGCTTGAATCTGTTTCCTGTGCTTTAAGTCCCGGTCAAAATAGCCAGCAGACAAGCTGATGGTTACTGTTACAAATTGTTATTTTCTCAGTTGTTTCTCCAAAATATGTTGTTACATTTTTAATTCTATTTGCATGCACTTACTGTAATATTTACTTAGGAATTTGAGAAAGGCATTGTATTAAAGAAGGTAAAGATAATTTCGTCAAAGAGACTGAAAAAGACTCTCTTTGGCTAAGCAACATTTTCAAAGTCTGGCTTCTAAAGTTAGGCAGTGATAGAGAATGAGTTGTTTGCCAACAGTGCTAGATGCGTTCCACTTCCATTGGTTTCAGTGAGGATTTTAATGCTCAGCAACTTAAGAACAGATAAATTATTCAGATGCTTAAGTATGATGCACTCATCTAATGTTAAGTACTCAGGTTTTTAAATGCGCGCATTAATATTGATTTATTCTCATTAAACAAAAGGCAATATTTACTCGGTTTTGTAACGGGGGGTTTTCTATTTTCGCAGAATTCTGTTTTCAGAAGAATGCTTTTGCTGCTCTAAAACATTATCTTATTAGAATTAAGTAAAATTAAGAGTTTTGGAGTGTGGAGTAGAAATTTTCACTTAATCCCTTGTTCTTCTCTCCGCAGCTCCAAGTACCGCCCAGTACGGGATTACTGGTGACGCGGAAGTGGTGTTCTCCTGCTGGTCCCTTGTGTTGACACTGTCCTCTTTCACCAGCATATTCTACCTGAAGAACATCATTCTACAATAAATGTAAAGAACCATAAAAGGCTTTTAAGGATTCTCTGAAAGTGCTGATGACTGGATCCAATCTGGTAGAGTTTGTTAAAAGCAGCGTGGGATATAATCAGCAGTGCTTACATGGGGATGATCGCCTTCTGTAGAATTGCTCATTATGTAAATACTTTAATTCTACTCCTTTTTTTGATTAGCTGCATTACCTTGTGAAGCAGTACACATTGTCCTTTTTTAAGACGTGAAAGCTCTGAAATTACTTTTAGAGGATATTAATTGTGATTTCATGTTTGTAATCTACAAGTTTTCAAAAGCATTCAGTCATGGTCTGCTGAGCTGCAGACTGTAGTTTACAAAAAAAAAAAAAAGAATATTGCAGTAAAAATGTGCTTCTTTAAGGCTGCAATACAAATATTCAGTTCCCTTCTTAAATAACATTCTATCCACATTTACACAGAAACATTTTTTTCTTTTTTGATAAAAAAGCAAATAATATTGCCTTCAAAATATTTCTTCAAAATATTACACATATCTAGATTTTCTTCTAGCATGATATTCAGGTTTCAAGAATGAGCCTTGTATTATAACTGCATTGTGCAGTACTGCTTTTTTTGGTTTCCTTTTCCTTTTCCTGCAAATTCAGCATGGGTGTGCCTTCATAAAATAATGCTTTTCTCCTCCTCTCCAACAAATCCGGAATGTGTTTTGGGAAATGTTAAAGCATCCTTTTGAGCATAACTAATCTCTAAGTGAGGACATAGGTGCTGTTGGCTAAGAGAATACCTCTTCCATCGCCAGTGGGTAATAGCACTGCTTCAAGCTTAGCCTACAATGTTGTGTGTTTAGGCAGTCAGTCAAGGATAGCACCAATGCCTTTTTATTTTTCCATCTACTATCACTAATCAGTAGGTGATCTCTGTAAAAACTAGTTTTCCCATTACAAAAGAGAACATACGTTCTTTTGAGACGCTGTGTGAATGTAACAATTTTTCCCTTAGTCAAAATCCTTAAATGGCTATATATGTAAGAAGCTGAATAGTCCCTTTTTTATTATTGGCCAAAACTATGTGAATTGTTTTTTTTTTCTTGTGCTTAATTTTGTACTGTTTTGGCTAATTTAGCAATGATAAAGGATGCTTTTAAATATTAGATATCTGAAAATACATAAAGTATCAAGCAGAATTTTTTATATATATAAAATACATATATATATTAAAAGGAGGTTGCTACAATAACTCTACTTAAGTGCATGTTACCAATGATGCATCTTTACAGACAGAAAACTTCATTACTGATGTACTAATACTGTACAAATATCTTACTACAGCAGTTAACTTCTTTGTAAGTCAGTGAAGGAACAAGTTTCAAAATAGCATATAACGTTACTAAAAATTTTTGGTTTTTAGAAACATAGCTCCATACAGCATTAATTAATACAACATTTTGCTCACAATTTACAGCTGAATTTGAAAGTGTCATCCATGTAAATTGCTGGGACATGACTGTGTCCAACAGCCTTTGAATACAGGACCTCCCATTGACCCCCACAGAGGTTGACTTGCTTACAAAACAACTGTTGAAGATAAAAATAATTAAAAATTATCTACATCATTATTAATTTACTTTCCATGCACCTGTTTTATATATGAACTCCAGTAGGTGGTACAATTACGATAAATATAAGACTTTTTCTCCTAATATTAATTTGTTTTTGTAGCTAGCGATACCAGGTGAGTACTGTACAAACTCAGCAGTTCCAAATTCAACTTAAAAATATTCCGGTTTTTGAAAATGCAAATTCTGAATTTCCTCAGTCTCAGTATATAGTATCCCATGCTAAAATGTACGCAGATTATGCAGTGAATCTGTTGTCATTACTGATTAACTCAGATGTAGGGTATAAACTGAAATATGTTGACTCCAAAATATGGCAATAAATTGTCTTAAGTCACGCTGCTTCTGTTCAGTGACAGATTTCACAATTTCTGTTATATTATTTTCAGCTGTGTGCTAAGCAATTACTATTTTCAGAAATGCGGCGTTTTTTTAAAACCTTGAATAACATGACAAAATTCATTCTTTACAGCAATCGTATAAAAACAGTTCAAATTATAATATATACTGCCCTGGTAGCCTGATCTCTCTTGTATTGCAGCTTTAAAGTGCTATATTTTAGAATCCATTCATTAGATAACAGTGGTGCTGCAGAAAAATACCACGTCAGTACAGTTCTATGAAGAAGGAAAAAAGAGTTAGCATATGCATAACCGAACTCATATGCATCTTCTTACACAAAACTGAGAGATGTTTCTATACTGTGGCTGGATTAAAATTATGTATTTTGATAAACACTTCCAGTGATTCCTGATATCTGGAACTTGATAATTCCAGCAACAGTATAGAATAAACAGCTGTTTTATTAGATACGAAAAAACTGAAGTATTGACTGTTTGCATTCTGGATACCACTGGAATAGCATGAACATTGGGGGAAATAATTATTATCAAGTCTAAAAAGGTAAAAAACAAAACAAAACAAAACAAAAAACCAAACATTTCTAGGTGCCAATGGCATTTTCTTATATGAAATAGATATTTAAACATCAATGAGATCTGCGTGTTCAGCAGTGGAAATACATGTGTGTCTGCAGATTTTCAAACTCAGCCCTACGCATGCTGGGCCTGCACACGCATTAGCGCGTGCCCTCAGAGTCCGTAGGCTTTGTCTCTTGAAGGCTGCTGACAAAAATTTGACCATTTAACCCTCCCGTCCTACAAAGAGACACAGACATGCTTAACTTTGTGCAGTGATTGATTCAAAAGACAGAGTACATAAAGTCGATCAACCTTGATTTTTGCAGGATTGGAGCTATAGGCAATATTGATCAAATAAAGAAACTTGGTTCTTTTGTTAATCTGTTCCATACAGTAAACTGGTAATTGTACAGTTTAGGACTTATTGGGATGTTCTTCCAAAATGGACTGTGCAGACTGTTGCAAATTGAATACAATAACATTTTTAAAAATCTATTCACCCTTTAATTTCTTGGGTGTATTTGCTTTAGGCAACTATTTCAAGATATGTTCTGTGCTTCTCCAAATGATTAACCCATACTGTTCATATCTGTTGCTCAAATACTATTATATTTATTCCTACCTTTAAAAATGTGAAAAATAAATGGACGAGCTCCAAGCATTATAACTGAATAATGATATTAAGATTGTTTTCCACATTCGAAACCCTGAAGTCTGTAACACCGTAAGTTCCTACTTGTGCAATAACTCAGGTCTGCTAATTACCATCTCATTGGTGACATATCTAGAAGCAACGATGCTCTAATCATACAGTTGCTGATCATGATATTATACTAATACTGAATTAAAGGATGTCTCACAACTTCTTAAACAAATGCAGTTTCTCAAGGGTTTATAATTTGGCAGGAAATGTATTCATAGCTAGACAGCTTTTTTTAAACTTTACAGTATATATATTTTTTTTAGAAACTATGCTGTTTTTAAGATACAGGAGTGTTAAAAAAACATCACCAGTAAAAGCTGCTTTTTTGCACGTTTTCAGAGTTAGCATTCTAGAAGAATAATGGTAAACATTATGCCTACCAAAATCTCTGCTTATTCCACGTAACTGTGTTATAAAGAATGTGTATACCAAAATATGTATTTACATGGATAAATAATATGCCTTAAAGACTAAATATGCATTTACTTCTAAGACTGGATCATGCTTTTGTTCAGTCTGGAGGTAAATAATCCATATTTCATAACCTGCCATGGAAGATTTTGTTTCTTTCCAAAAAAAAAAAAAAAAAGAAAAGAAAAAAGCAAGCAAAAATGTTCAGTTTCTTTTAAAACAATCTTAAATAATTTTAAAATTCTTGCATAAACTGACATATGTGAGGAAGTTTAGGAAAAGGATAAAGTTTTAGCCTGACACTTTCTCTTTAGAATTGGAAATGAGTTGACTCATTCTCTGCAATTTGCACTGAGGAGACAAAAGATCTTGATGTTGCCACTGAAACCCCAAGTTATGCCTTTGAAGGGGACAACCATACTGCACTGTCCCCTGTGCTTGTTGCAAAGGACACTGTGCGTACAGTGAGTAACATACATTAATGCAAGGGTGTTTGTGAGGATTTTAATGAGGACCACTGCACACTCATTTAATATGTCCATTGTCACCCTCTGCAAGGATGCCCCTCTCAACTAGCCGTATCTCCCTTTCTAACCTGCCTTCCGTCTCCTTCGGGGATATATTAACTCCATCTGCATCCTGCTTGGTCCTCTTCTCAACCTCATGTCTGATAACTCATTACCAATCTATCTCCTGCAGTAGCTCTTGGCCTGAAGGTGGGTTATGAAGCTAGACTGGGAGAGATAATAGCCATTTCCGACAGCGGTGGTGCCTGGGAGAGGGGAGAAGGACAATTTGTGGCGTTAGGGAGATAGGAGATAGGACTGTACTGACCACGAGCAGATTTAACTGTTGACTTCCAGGCTCAGGAAGCATGAATACATTCAGGGACAGGGCAGCCATCCCACAGAAACCACAAAGCTTGGTGCTAGCACATTTCCTGCAAGCAGCTCGTGTGCCTTGAGCACAGCAACTGCGTGAGAGCGCGGTCCAACCTTCCCATCTGGGAAATGGGTCTGTTGGTCACGCCAGCCCCAGTCAGCTGCAGGCGGGAGGTTTGGAGGAGCCCACAGCATCGCCAGCCTGCCGGGGAGCACCACCATGCAATTGGTGAAACTGATGAAATTCTTCATTTAGTTTTAACAGATAGTAGATAAATAACTATTTACACTGAAGGCAAGAATTTACTTTGGGTTAACTGAACTTAAGCACATTCATTACATTGTTTGGGTTGGCTTTAGTTTTCTGTCCTGTTTTATGCTTCTTGGCTGAGCATTAAACAAGAGGGGAATTTACTCTGCTTT